GAGCGGTTTTAGGACAGCCCCCATATCCTGATAACCCTGAACTTTGAAACCCCCAACCCTGGCCTGCAATTGCTGCATCGCCTGGTCGTTCGGTGCGTGCACGAAGAACCGGCCCGGCCGATCAAACTGAAAGTCGCAGTTTTGTGGGAGGTATAACATAGGGGCATTACCAATACCATTTTGTGCATTCCTTATTGTCAATACAGTACAATTTCCCCCAAAAGCCGATTCTAATTAAGGCACATATAGTAGGTTTGTTCAGTACCGGTTTTATTAGTTTTGCTGTGAAGGCTTTTGCGTTCATGTGCCGTGGGGTCTAGGATCAAAGCAAGGTCTAAGGATTGAGGGCTGTGGGAGTTTCGGGGGTACTGAAGAGTAAGGTGAAGATGTCGGGCCGTAGGGCTTCTATACTTCAGGGTTTGGGGCGGCGCCTTTTTAAACACGGCCGGTGGCAGTTAGTCCAATTGCCGCCAAGCTCCTACGGCAGCACGTAAGTTTAGAGCACATTAGGGTTCGGCGATCGGGTTCAGCCATGGGGAGTTTCAAGCGTTGAGTGCTGGGATGAAGGAGCCTCAATCACTTCCTGGCAATATGACATACAGATCCCATCAGCCTTCCACTCAAACTCTAAACCCGTCGGCCCTTCTTTATACTTGTATACTTTATGCTCTTGAGCCTCCTACCCTACCCGAATGCTTACGCCCTTCGGCTCTTCTTTAGACTCCTAGGCCGACCGCAGGCCTCTTTCTGCATCTTCCTGGCCATCGAGGCCACAATCGGAAGCTTGGAGACATCGAGCCGAGCCTAGGGACCAGCATCAGGGCATGTAAGATACATCATCATAATGCTACTGACTGATAATAACAAAGATTTCGAGTATGATTAGGATTAGGGTAGTATGATTATTATTGCTATTATGATTCGTCTTCTGCTTCTTCGCATTCCGGAGCTTTCAGCTTTGTACTTTCAGCCTTAGACAGTTCGATTTTGAGATGAAGATGACGGCGGCGACAACAGCAGTGGTGGTGGTGCTGGTGCTGCTGATGCTGTCTGCTGATGTGTCGTCGCTGGTGCTTCTACTGATGATGATGACGATGTTCATGAGAAGGAGCAGAGGAGGAGGAGTGTCAGCCACATCTCCGAGTCACGAAACCCGACATACCGAACCATGCGTGGCTTGAGCAAACACCTCGTTCAGTTGCAAAGGCTTGCGCAAGTGGGTAGGTGTATGCTACTCGAAATCGGAGACATACAAGGTCATGAGTGGCGTTGCGTTTCGAAAGCTCGTCTTTGCCGCAGGGACCCTCAGCTATAGACAGCCGTATACATGAACCGCCTACCAATCTTGGAGTCCTTGCTACTAACCATCATGACGCACTGTTTGAGGTTAAAAAATCGAGTAGGCAGAGCATGTGGTCCGGAGTTACAGTTACAAGGAATATATTCAGCTATTTTTTGTTCAATCAAATAAAACAACATTAAGCTTATAAATATGTACGCTGGCCCTACCAATCGACATCAGTCTTACTACAAGTTGCGGATGTCATTACTACCGCTAGCAATTACAGCATTCCTGATTCCTGCGAATGGCATGATGCACGACGAAGTCAAGCGACTATCTCGTCTGCCGACACCGCCCGGTGAAGCATTGAATCTGCTGTGTTCCCGCCGTGCATGACATGGAGGCAGATGCCCTGCGGGAAGAGCTGCATGCATGAATCCGAACACCGCGGGGTCGTAGAAGCCACAGCTAACCCTCCGTCTCTCAATCCTGAAGCCCCAGTTCGAAGCCATGAAGCCCAACTGCCAGACGGAAACCCCAAACTCCCGGCCTCTAGATCTTTGCGCAGCCCCACTCTGGGGCCGAATGCATCTCGCAACTGGAGCATGAACTTGACATCCTGCGCCCACCGATCAGTGTCGGGTTTAGGGCTTATGGTTCGTCGTAACGCCGACAACTAGCAAGAGAAAGCACTGCTGAACAGAAAACCAAGAGTGGCTTGGTGTTGCCTACAAACATATTCTTCAGACTATAGTGCCAGACTACCAGCAGGGTAAACAGCGGCTAGCCGACATAAGAATATCAACATGCGACACGGAGAAGCCCCAAATCTTAGAACAGGAACTTTATGCAGGCAATAACTTGCCGCCCTGCAGAACCGCAATCCCGAATGCCCTCTCGAGTTTGGAGGCTGCGAAGGTCTGGACACTGAACCTGTTGATTTTTTGTCGCGAAAGCAGCAACAAAGGTGCGAATGACAATAGTCCTCGCCACTACACTACTGGCAATTCCGTCCATCCAGCGACAGCGACGACGAAGACTGCAAGTACGACGATGAGGCAGTGATGGCCACGCCTATAATGCCACGACCACTATGACTACTTCAAACATGAGGAACGAAAGAAGTTTATGCCGTAAGCTCATGACCCTGACAGCTCAGGGTATGCGACAGTCCTCGCACATCTTGGTGTCGGGATACCTTCAAACGGCGGCAATCAGAAGGATGGATTTGCCCATCTCCTTACCGAATCTGCTCCGATCGACCCCTGAAAAGTTGAAGTTGCTGTGTAGCTTCTAGCAAACGCCACATTCATGTCGTCAAGACTCCAACCCTAAACCCTAAACAAACTCTAGGACTTTCATGCATCCCCAAACCTAAACCCTACACCTTCGTGTTTGGGCAAGATGCGGGTGTTGCAGTCCTGGCTCACGCAAGTGCACCTGAGAGAATATGCTATAGTGCTTCATGGTTGAACACAGTATATCATGGTATACTAAACATGCTATAGCATCTTACAGCATATCAAGTATATTAAGGTCTATTATCGTATCTCATCGTATGGTATAGTATATAAGTATACTGTAGTATAACATAGTATGCTATAGTACATCACAGCATATTGCAGTATATTGTTATAGTATGTAAGAGGATCTGTTCTGGCTTAATGGGGCTCATTTAAATTTTATAATCTACAACTCTTTTNNTTATCTTTCTAGTCTTTTATGTCTTATTTCCATTAAAATGAACCATAAGATAGAAAATGTACAAATAAAAGTTAGGAGATGGCTGTAAAAAAGAGGAATGGAATGACCAAAAAGTCCTATATGAACCGTTGAACGAGTCTTCCTGTCCAGGCTTTCTTATCACCTTGGATTCTAAGGGCCAACAATAACCGTTTCCAAGAGGCGGCTCGATTAGCTCCGCCCGGCTTCGAGGGAACATGTCTGTCTTCTATGGCTTTCAAGGTTGAAACCCTGAAAGCAAAAATCTCACAAGTTCGGAGCCCCAGGCAAGAACAATCCCGAGTGCCCGAACGAAGATTCTGCCAGAGAGCCCAAGCCAAGAACCCTTACGGCAATCCTCAACGCAATTAACTCGCACCCTTACAGGACCTTCATGGCTCCTTACTGACTGGGTCCCCAAAACCTTTAAGTGGGGTCCCTCAGCTTGAGATCTCTGGCACATAAGAGAAGCCGTAGCCGTAGACAGCGCCTTCCACGCCCGACCTTTTCGGGTTTCAAGCGATTTCTTTAGATTCAAGGTCTGGGGTTGGATTTGAAGGGTTTAGGGTTCGGTCCTGTGGTTTGGTTGCGATTCTGTCTGTCTGAAGTGCTGTCATGAGTCTCATCATGCTTTTCCTTGGGCTCCCATGTCCAGTGTGTTTGGCAAGTACAGATCCCTACACGGAACCAACAAACCTTAACCCTCCACCCTTAACCATGTATAGTCTGAACCATAAGCCGGAAAATCTCAGCCCCCAACGACGCCCTACACCCGTAACCGAAGCATGAGCTTTAACCCCGAGTCAATATTTTCGTGGCCGCCCCGTGGCTGCGACTCAGAAACCTGGACCCTGCACCCTGACGCCCAAACCGCCACCATGTAAAACCCAATCCAAGCTTCTTGTAATATTTGACCTGACCTCCCCAAGTCCAAGCCTAAACTCCAAATCTCACAACACCTCGAGTTTCAAGACAGAGGAACTGCCTTGAAGATTCAACGCATAATTTCCTGGCTGGTGTAAGCCCCTTGGACCCAATGCAGAAACCGCCTAAAATGGCCCCTTAATGTCGCTGTATACTCAAACGTGAAACAATCCTAAACTCTAGAAAGCCTTTGTAAAACCCTCAGAGAACACTTTATGGAGCGCTCTTATCTTAAGGAACCCTGTAAGGAACCCCACAAAGACCGCCTTCGAAGCTTTTCGAGCTCGGTTTTGGCTGCGGCGGCCAGGATTGAATTCGGGAGGTCCAGATCCGTCAGCGCCTCGATTAGGGTTCGGGGCTGAGGGTTTCGGATTCTGGTTTAGAGCTTAGGATATTGAGAGTTTGGATCAAGGTTCGGAAATTCGGAGAGGGTATTTGCGGCTCACAGTCAATAAAATCCTGGACGAAGTTGTCCAGCTCTTGATTGTCGTCAAGGAATTCAAGAATCAAATCTTTCGGATGGCAGAGCACCGGCCGGTTCTCGGAACTTGTACCCAAAAGCCCGAAGCTGTCAAGCAATGCTCGGGACAAGAAAGGTTTCGGGTTTAGACATGTACGGTTGAAGAAGTTAGGGTTCAGGGTTTAGGGTTTAGGTTAAAGGTTTCCTGAGACTCTCTAGAGGTTGAAGAAAAACAAAACAGATTGTTCACTCTTGGACCAAGTAAATGAGGCCTCGGGATCGACGTAGCCGCATCGGTTCATTCGCCTGGCAGTGTCTCATAGTAAGACTGGTGGTGCTGACGGTCGTTTCAGGCGAAGCTAGCATTACAAAAAACAAGGACCGAAGTAATGTCGACGCAAAAATTGTCGGACGAGCATTGTAAGGTTTAGTGCAAAATGTGCTAGGGAATGCTCAGGAGTAATTTTCCAACCTGGCGCAGGTTATTCAGGGTTTTCGTTCCTATGCATACAATCCCAAACCATAGGTTACAAGCCCGAAACACCGCAAGACCCAAGAGCAGAAGACACAGACATGCCCTAAACGCAGCTCTTCGGTTGCTTGAAGCACGGCTATGGCTCGGGGGCCCGGGTGGTTAGGACCCAGCGTTGAATCGAAAAGCTTGTCTAGGGCTCTATTTACTAAAATGGGGGCCTCAACATGTAATCATATTGTACTATGACTATATACATACAACAGCACAATTTGGAGCAAAGCGAGTCCCCAAGCACCTAGACAGCCTCGCTCTTGAATGCAAGTGGCGTGTCAAAGTCGTACCATGCACTCAGCGTCAGGGCCACGAGGTTCTTCCTGCAAGGCACGCCCCCAAACTCTAAGGGCCTTCGGCTTTTGGGTTTAGGGTTTCTACAGCCGTAGAAGCAGTAGTTCTAAGCGGATGGCCTATGAAGACAAGAACCTAAGAACGGGGGTACGATTGTGCGCGTGGACGCCCCGGTGTGAATGGCAGCTGCCGGAATCCATGCCGAAGAGCTGCCTTTGTTCTTGGCAGGCACCTGCACCGAAGGTGTATCCCTCAACCCCCCATTTTTGCAAACCCTAAGCCCTAAAGCTAAAACCTTATGCAAACCGATGGGCTGAATAGCAAGCGATTGCAGGAGAGCTGGGTTTAAGCTCTAAGCCTCGGGGCTTACAGTACGGGGCGGGCAGGTGAATCTGCGCAGATACAGGCGGAGAGGCGGGTCCTCTGTAGCTCCCGCACCATGGAGGAGACATAGGAGGGCCCATAGATATCATCATCATCAAAGTTGACGATGACCTTGCTGAACCCCGCATCTTTGGCTTCAGACTCATGCGGACCTTGCCTTAACCATGAAGCCTAGTGGCCGTAAACATCTGTCCGGAACACTGGCTTTAGCTTTCAGGGCTTGTTGACAAGAGTTCCTGGCTAATCCTGCCCTTAAACTTGTTTTTCCTTGCCACTTCCCTCGCGCCTGGCCCGATGCCAGGAGAATGCCGAGGTTCCTTTTGCAGCCGATGCTGCAATCACCTGCAAAGAAACCTCTAAACCTTAGGGAGCTATATTATATTAGACTACAGCTTTCAATTCTATCTCTGACCTAGAGGACTGTATGGTTTAGGCTTGGGGACTCCTGCCGGGTGAGAGTCTCCAGGAGCCTCATTACGTTCAGACCGCCCGTATACCTCGCCGCCTCCTTGGTTGGCAGAATGTGGTACCAGCGCACTTATCACCAGGACCTTCACCCGAGAAGACGGAGCCGTAATTCTTCAGATTATCCCACCACCAAGTCACATCTTCCGCAATGACTTCGAGATGCTCACAGGCATAGTCAGAGACCTCACGGACCATCCGAAGCCCTTTAAACGAACCCTCGAGGCCCTCCTGCTTCGAAAGGTCACGGCCTTCCAGGGAAATGTAAACGACATTTTCGGCGCCCAAGGACTGGAAAAACTCGGACGGCCGGCCCTGGCGCGCAGTGGCTTCTTGGATTCATGATATTTAGGGTATAATAGAGGGTAGTTGGGGGGTGCTGAGGGGTTCAAGGCTTTAGGTGTTCTTTTTTGTGCGTTGGGGCTGGGGTCGAGGCTAGCAAATGGCTTTTGGCGTTGTTGAAGCCGGGCTTGCAGGACTTCAGGTGTGGAATGGTTGTCGCCTCGGGCCTTCGAGAATCAACGACTCTATGGGGGTAGCGCAGGGCTCCTTATTATAATTATATTATAAGTGTAATATACCCCCAAACCCTAGTCTAATCATAAAAAGGCCCCTACACTAGAACGCTAGCAAGAATGTCAAGGGCTCTTGGTTTCGGCTCGAGGCTTCGCGGCCAATCGCTCAGAGCTTCGGAGAGGGCGGCTTAAACAACAGAAAGACAATTCGATAAACGGGCCATGGGAGATTCAGAAAATGAGGGGCCCTAATTTCGACCCTACACGAAAGAACTCATGGCAAGGGAATCCGAAGAAGGGGTTTGGAGTTCATAGCTCAGGCAGACCTTTCAGTATGTTCAAGCATGGCCTTTGATAATGAGCCTCCGCTATCGTATTGCTAACACGGGGTTTAGCTTGGGACTGGGCCCCTCCCCCGCGCCCATATCCTGAACCCTTCGTACCCTTCACGGTCCAAAGTCTGTGCCCAAGTAGGAATCGGAAACGTAAACCCCTAAGCACGAAACCTAAGCCCCAAACCCTCATCCAAGCTAAATCCCTAATCCTAACCCTCACCATCCTAATCATCCTAATCCCTAACCCCCGCTCCCCCAGCACCCGGAAGGTGTGCCCTGAACCGAAAATCAAGAAGACTTCTACTGCCGCGACCTGGTGCGTTTCGAGGACGATGAGCTCCTCAGGGCTCCAAGGCTTCATGGAGTGTAGGGCTACCCGAAACCCTCAACCCTACACAATCCCGAACCCCAAAAACACAACCCCCTAGACCCCTAAGCCCTAAACCCATCGATAAATCAACCCAGGGCTCCTTGTCGCGCCAACTTTGGGCGGTGAAGCACTCCCACAGCTGTGGGTGAAACCTTCCCCGTGATGTCTTGCAGCGGTTTAGGGTTCTAGAAGGCTTTAGGTGTTTGGGGTTTCGGATTTTGGGTGTCTTTGCGTTGCATGTGCTGTTGTGTTCTTCGGGCTTCAGGGGTCTGGGGTGCAGGGTTTCGGGCTTTGGCTTGTTTGGGGTTGTAGGGTCCGATGGGTGAGGTCCACAATTTGAGTTCCAGGTGGTGAGGGTTAAGGGTTGACAGTTCTCGGACTTGAGCTTAGTTTGCCCTTGGAAGTCACTTCGACTGCGGAAACTTCTGTTGTTATCAACGAAGGTGAATCGCTCATGCATTCATCGCAGGCACAGCGGGGGTAGGCAGCGAATACGGCTGATAACCTGCATACAGAACACAGAGTGCGGTGAACCGTGAGCCGATACAAGTGCCTTCATTAATACCCCAGGCTTGAGACGTCACGTCGCGGTAGCACTCAACATGATGATCGCACATGTCATATGCTGTTTAACTACAATAGGACCCCTCCGGCAAGCCCTGCACCCAGAACTCCCCTCGATAAGTGTCAGAGCGGCTTTGAGCGGCGGCTTGTCGTGGGCGTTACCACGGAAACGCGGCACCTGCAAAGTGGCACGGTGCTATGACACCCAACGGGGTTAAGCCGCTCCCTCGAGTCTCTGGGGCTCCAGGATTTAGGGTCTAAGGGGTTTGGGCTCCTAGCACGAACAACACCTCCCCGAGGAGCCAAACCTAACACAACAGCTCTTGACACCTTAAGCACTGATCTGGGGACCAGAACCCCTGGATGAGATAGGAGAGGGACGTAGCAGTCTTCTTAGATGACCTAGGAGCCCGCATACTCTCGATAGGGCTTTGAGAGCTCTTGGGTTTTAGCTTTAAGGAAGTGTCTATACCCTAAACCCTAAACCCTAAACCACATACTACTTGTGTAATATCATTTTATGCAGAATCGCGGCTTCCATGTTGCAGCGCTGCGCGGAGGCTTCAGAGTTCAGAACCTCTCGAACCATGATACTCAAATTTAGGGTTTAGGGTTTATGGCTCAGGGAGTTTAGGGTTTAGAGGGTTTAGGTAGGGTTAAATGACCCTGTTTACAGCGCAGAAGTAAGCATCAGCCCAATCAACACGATCCTAAATCAACTCCAACAGCCCCGACACATCAAACCTCAGGTCACCTTCGTCGCTTAACCCTTGACCTACACCCCAAACCCTAAACACTAAAGAATGAACCCTCACGTACAAACCCCGGGCACTAGTACCGATGCCCAGAACCTTACGTCACAGAGCCATGTCCCTAAACCCTACATTATGTGATTATTTGGCTATGTACCCCTCCTTGAACACCCCCTTTAAGGATTCCACAACAACAGCCTCTGCCCCGACCACGAGGTTTCGAACCCTTGAGCGCAAAATCTTTAGCAATATTGTCATTACTACTACTCCTACTACTGTTACTACCACAACCACAACCACAACAACAACCACAACCACAACCACAACCACAACCACAACCACAACCACAACCACAACCACAACCACAACCACAACAACAACAACAACTACTACTACTACTACTACTACTACCACCACTACTACTACCACTACATACAATCCGATCAGAAACCCGAGCCCGAAGCGCCCGCTTGCGGGCGGCGCGCGCCGAAGGCGCCGGAGCGACTCAGGATCCTGAACTTATGAGGTTTAATTAATGCGCCTCCATAGGGCCTTATGTAATTACCGTCGCACGGGCCTTAACGTTAGAGCAGGGTATACGAACTCTAATAACTACAAGAGGTGTATGTTTCTGGGTTATTAATTCTGATCCCGAAGTGATAATGAAGAGTCCGTCCTCTCTTTGGGATTCTCTCATTTTGTTTGCTTAAGCCCCCGCACTGGAGAGTCCTTAAACAGTGAAGCCCTTACGCCTGGCACCCTCAAATCTTAAACCCAGACCCTATCTGGGGAAAGTGTTTAGGTTTCAAGTAAGCCCGAAACCCTCGCCCAGACCTTGAACCGTTCGGGCTTCTGCTTGTGGGTTCACGCCCTGGGGTCATGTGTACTGCTGCCCACTGACGAGGTTGATTTAAAACTTTTCGTTTGTTCACGGCTGCCGGGTTCAGGATTTCAGGGCTTAGGGTTTGGGGTTTTAGGTTTTGGTTTAATTTGCCGCATTGGCGTCCCACCAGCCCCGTTACAGCCCCAATATTCAAGTACCTACTATTCAGATTCCCAGCAAAGTAGTTAAGTAGTTCTTCTAATCTTTCGGGCCAGTATGTTAAGCTTCTGTGCACCTTTTTCCCTACTGGAGCTGCTCTTGACAAGGGTCATTATTGGAGACTTGTCGGTACATTCTGACAGAGAAGCCGGCGGCTTCGATCCTTACTTCCAGCAAACTGCTCGTGTTTGATGATACTCCTTTGATTTCAGGTTCAAGGTCTGCATGAAAAGGGGAACTGATAACTTTCGGGTGCAAACGGGCGTCCCACTTTCCTGCGCTCTGGTAGTACAGCGCCTGTTCCTGGCTCGGCGCATGAAGATCATGCGGATCCCGAGATGCGTGAGCGCATGGAAACCGGAGGAAGAGCAGGCGACCGTTTTGAACATCAACTGCTTCAAATGGTGAACAAAGCTCGGACTATGATCCACCTCTCTTCTTGAACACAGGGTTCTTTGCTTTGCTACTTTGGGTATCCCGCAGCGAAGGTTCCGGGCAGTCATTGGTGACTGCTTTGCGGGGCGTTACCATCCAAGCTGGAACTTGGCCTCTCGTCATGTAGAAATTGTAACCTATGTTTCCAATGCCCTGAAACAGACACGGATTTCTGTGGCTCTAAATCTACATGTTCCAGTCAACGGCAGGTACTTCCTGTGAGGAGTCACAAGTATGTCAACAGTAGATCAGAAGCAGAAAGAAGTCGCTCGCCCCACAAAATTCCTCTGCGCATGCATCTCCACATGAACTGCTGGAGCCTCCTATTGAGTGTCACTTTTTGACTCCTGCACTTTCTCGTCATCCGGCCATTGGGCTGCAGGGCATTTCCACAGGCAAACGCGTCTTGAAGACTTCTGCACCCTGGGAGATGCGACCGGGATGGCCAAGGAGCGACGGCAATGAGTGCGGTAGCGGAGGCTGCGCAGTGGGGGCAAGCATCTCCTTTCTGTCTGCACGCATGCCCTGGTCCCACGTCGTAGCCGGAGGAAGCTCCAGCAAAGGATTGGGCACAGAGTGTGCTTGGCTCCGAGTCTGCAGCGTGGTGTAGCTGTCGGGCGCGGCAGGCTCTGCACCGGTGATGAAGTCCAATGCCCTCATTACGGAGTTGTATACTCCAAGCATCCAGAGCGTGCTCTCCATCTGCGGCTCATCTCCACACCTACAGCGGAAGGTCCGGTCCTTCAGTTTCTCAAGGCAGTTCCCGCAAACGGCGTGGGAGCACTTCCTTGGTGCATGATATCGGAGGGAAAGACGAAACAGACTCTTCTGGGGTTCCTGAGAGGAAAGAGAGGAAATCCAAACCACAACGACTAACGGCCCTAACGGCCCTAACGGCCCTAACGGCCCTAAACCCTGAACCCTATCTTGTAGGATCCCTAACAGGCTGACCCAGCTTCGGGCAATGGAAATCAAAGAAGGATCCCAGGGCTTGCTTGCAGCGGCTGCAGGTTTCTGGTGCTGACTGATGGGAACCTCGGTTCCGCAGCATCTCCGGTTGCTATACTAAGTGAGGGTACACTTTTTCCGATTATACAATCAGCTTTAACGAGAGGACCCCAATATACACGGGGCCGAAGGGTACTACTGGGGTACCTAGCAGCAGCTGCTGAACAGTCCGCACCATTGAGATGAGCAGTGCTCCAGGCAATGTTCGCTGATGTGGCTGCGGCAGTTGTCCTGGGAGAGGCGAGGCCAATTCGGATTAGCACTTTGCCCAGCACTGTCATCCACGCGTGAGATATCAAACCGACAGTCGGAGTGCACACGCCACTCGTCAGCTTTGGTGGGAGTGCAGGGAGTTCCTAGTGGAAACTTCGCGATGGCGCCTTCTGCCAAGGCCTGTTCGCCGTTGTACTCGGGCAGCGCAGCATCGAAAGTTCCGTAATCGCATGTCGTGGAGGCCGGTGACAAGGCCTGTCTACCGTAGCAGTACTCCGTCGGTGCAGGGGACCACGCTGCCGGTCTGTTGAGTCCGCTGTAGGCACATGCCGGCGAATACGGATCCTCTCCGCGGTAGTAGGCTTCTGTAGGTGCAGGGGACAACGGCCCCTGTCTGGCGTAAAATTCGGACAACGTGAAAGATGCCGGTGTCGCAGGCACTTCTCCATAGACACGGAGGTTGGCCAAAGCTGCGAGAGCTGGCTCCTCCATTGGAGGGGGAGAGCCACGCTCCGACATCTCGGATGCCTCTTTGGGAGCATCTGCCAAGGTAGTGTCGCACGAGGGGATCGAAGGAGGCGTGGAGACTTTGGCCGCCTTTTGGACGACGTCTTCTACCACTGGCTTCGCCTCACCATATTTCACCTCTTGCGGTGGGTCTGGCCCATACGGGTTGGTCCACTGAGCAGTGGCAGAAAGGTCCCAGTATGGAGGGGGACGTGGGCGCCGGGGCGGAGGGGGTGGAGGAGGTGGGGGGTTGAAGAAAAACCCGAAGCCGGCGTCAAACATCGTGCAGACTTCGCTGGTCTTTGAAGAAGTCGTCGCGGATGCAACCGAAGAAGCAACTCTAGGCTACCTCGGAACCCCAGCTTGAGCCATGGCCAATGTAGGATTCAAGATCTTTCGGAACAAGCGTGCGGATGGCGGGCGTTGAACTCTTCCAGTGAAGGTCTGTCTCTTCTTTGCAGGTTTCTGCGAGGCCTTTTCTATCCTGGCATAGGGTCTTGTGGTAGCTAAGCTGTCATGTAAGTGCATGGATAGTCCCTACACACGTCGCCAGCCTTCAGATGTCTAACTTACTCCTTGCATTCTAACTTCTTAATGTCTAACCGAGACTACGACTGTTCCTCTCCGGACTGCTGCTAACTGACAGTAATCGGCTACGAAACCTCAGAGCCGAATATTGATGGACAAGACAAGGATGAAAAGTGGGCCGCACTTTCCATGCTTACGGGTACGTAAAGCTATGTAGGTCTTTGCTCAGCCATAACGACTCCAAGAGCTTATCTCCTCAAAATGAAAACGCTGACAAACCTCAACACAAAGACCCCACCCTGCTCTCAGCCAGGATGCCAGAGGCGTCGACTCCGAGCTAAGCCGCGCATCGGCCGAGCCGAAATCCGCAAGTCCGTAGCTTCGGATGCGGCCGGCGCCCTTCCGGGAGTCTCGGAGAAGCTTCCATCTAGGGACGTGGGGCTTGGGGTTGGGCTTTGAGGTTGAAGGTTTATAGGGCTTAATGACTTAGTGTGTAGGGTTTACAGGGCTTACATAAAGGTCTAAATAGGGTTTCGTGTGCTGGGGTGGTGTCCAAATCCTCCGAGGCCAACCCGGCAAATCAATAAATCCTAAACCCGAGGCGCTGAACACGTTCTATACTGTATCACTAGAGTTTGAGGGTTTTGGCGCACGGCTGGTGGTAGGGACCCAGCGTGGGGGGCTTGAACTAGTTGTAGATTGTTAGCAGGGCTGGGGATTTGAGGGCGTGGGGTTCGAGATTCATGTGCTCAATGAGGGCTTTAGAGGTCTGGCCGAAGCAACTTCCGCGGGCGCCATCCCCTTCCTGCCTTTGAAGCAAGATCAATCCTTCGAGCCCTTGCAAATCATAGAACCTGAGGGACCTTCCTTTACAGCTTGCATTGACAGTAAGTCGTTGGCCATCGTGTTTCTTCTTATCTGCATTTGCAAGGAGAAGATCCGTTTACTCTCAACTCGAACGCTGCTGCCTTTCAGAGGTGCCTATCCTCAAAGGGAAGCTTCCCTAAATAAGGAGCCTAAAATGCTGTCCCCGCGTTTAGAAGAAACCTCAACATGAAGCCACTTACCATCACCGCCTCCTCCAAATGCTCCTGAACCCTTCGGGAGATATAACGTATATAGTATATAAATATCTGTGCCACAAACTTTAGGCCTGACCAGCGGCTTCCGGAACCAAGAGCTCTTTCTCACGGATCCGGATGCTGACCTTGGTTTGGCGTCGGCTTGGGGGCGAAGGATGAAGCTTGCGAAACTGAATCTCCTTGGGATGACGGGAGCTCTAGAAACTATCCATGAATAACCCCAAGCACATCAGCGCTGAACATCCTAGATTTAGACCCACCCTCAGAACAATAAGACGTAAGCAAAACCCTGAACCCAAGCCTGGTCATACGCCTCCCTGACCTTTTCAAGTCTACACCCTTAACAATACAGAAGCGACTGGCCTGGGCAGCCCCTTAAAGCACTGGCACTGAACCGTCTTCAACCCTGAACTGTGAATGCCAAGGCTTCCATACCTGTGGAGTTTAAGATGTGAGACATCAAACGAAGAAGTGATCAACGTACTGCATGGCTTGGGAGATCCGTATAGGGTTTGAGGTTTCGGGCTTGGGATGTTGGACTGGTTTCGGAGTTATTGCTTGAGGATGGGTGCGGCTCCCCAGAGGATGGATGTAGGGTGTGGTGTCAGGGATTAAGGACTAGTCCCGGTGTGGGTTCCTGCTTCCGCACATATGCGTGTGTATGTACAAATTAATTTCAAATCTATTGCTATCGTCACTCAAGCCTGCGGACCCTCGAAGGGCTTCGATAGGTGTTGGGGCTTTCGGGCTTGGGGTTTTGGAGTTTGGGGCCTCAGGGTCTTGGGCTTTGAGGCTTAATGTTTAGGGACAGCCTATGAGGATTCTGTGGTTTCGGTGCTACAAGTAGCCTAGTAGGAGCCCTCGGCAAACATACGGGTTTAGGGTCAAAGCACGGAGCCCTTGACAAATCGCACTCTATTGACCTGCACGGTGGCAGGACATCTCTGGTGGGATCCACTTTCCTAAGCCTCTCCTTCATATCTGTATATATACATACATATATACACATGTATAAACACATAAAACATATATGTGTATATATATATATACACATATGTCCACACACCAGTTCATGCGTGTGTATATATACAGGTACATATATACACAGATATATACCTATGCATAGCAATCTAAACTCAGTAAATAAATAATAAACATATATACATATATATATATATACATACTCGCATACATATATACACACATATGTATAGACATATTCAAGGCAGGTGGCCCAACCGGATCCTGGCCCAGAGCCAGCCACGAGAGCATACTGCAAGCGAAGTCCCTGACGACCGATCTCCTGGAGGAATGTAGGAAGCCTGACTAGGTAGAGTCATAGGGTTTTTGGGGGCACGTTATAGTATATTTCGCAACAAAGAGCCCTAAGGAACGGTCCTACCGTACTGTTTCGAAACCGGTTCTTCAGAGTTTGAGACTAGTGTTTAGCATTGGGTGGGGTTCAGATGGGTTTGGGGCATTCGCTTCCGGATGGTGTTTGTATCTGTGGTGCTTTCAAAGTCTGAATTTTTCCGGGTCGTTTAGTGCGAGAAACATTCGGAGCTTGTTAAGTCTCTTGTGAAGCCTAAAGCCATCCTGATCAGAAATCACAAGAGTCTTCAATTGATTCAAGCCTTTCGACGACCCGAGGGTTTTGAGACTTCATCTTCTGGCCTCGAGTTCAGGTTCTGGTGCGGCAAAGGCGGTAAGACTACGTTTGCCTTCCAATGGACGCCCCTACTTCTGGCAATATGCCCCAAAAACGATAACGCGCTTCACCCTAAACCCGGCACCCTGCTAGACCCAATCCCTTTTAGCACCCCAACCCCTGGGTTCTGAGGTTTGCTTGCTGAGTAGTGAGTGCTGCCGCTAACGAAACTGCAATGGTGACTGCAAGGTTGTTAGCATGGGGCATGTGTATACAGGAGGTGTAGACTTCCGTCGGAGTATGGTTGTCATGAGCTTCTAGGGCTTGGGATGGACAGCAGCATGGGCCCTGTAGTTCAGTTGGAGCAGGGCAAACAAGGGCAGACTTGCATGCCAAAAACCAATGCCTGAAATCCACCTAAACTCTGAACCCTAAACCCTCAACCCTAAGCCCTATCCACAAGCGGCTCCTGAATCAGCGACTTCGTCGCCAATCGCTCCTTGGGGTCGGAGCCAAAAACTAGCACGACCTATCGGGCGAAATCACTTACTTGTCCAGTATCCTATTGGCAACAGAAGGTTCACGTTTGGGATTACAAAGCAATTTACCCACCCCCAAAAAAAGGGTTCAAACGTTACCTACTATTGACTAGGACGACAACAAAACTACGACTCAGAGACATGCACCTGAATGAGCCTAAACCCTCTAACTTTAATCTGATATCAACCGGACTGAGGACCCAAATCTCATAGGGCACGGCTGTGGCCCGAGGGAACAGCCTACTACGCACTAAACCGTAAACCTGTAGCACCTGGAAGACGCCTACAACCCCGCTCCTGCTTCTCTTCGCTGGTCAGACCTGGGACGATGGTTTGATCTGCTCAAGGGTTTGGATTTTATAGGGTTCAGGTATAGTATGTGGGGCTGCTGGTTGGGGCGAGAGGTTTAGATGAGTCTAGGTTTGAGGGCTGTGGGCTTGGGGCTTGTGGTCTAGAGTTTGCTGGCGAAGGGCTCGAGGTTTAGAGAATGCTAGATGCTGAACCCTCAACTTATCGTAGATCCTGAAACTCCGAGCGCTACAACGCACTTGAAGGGCCAAAGACTCCAACATCCCTGGACTGAGGGTCCCAGTTGAAATCTAGACAGTACTCTTTGGAATTCGGGACAGTGGCGACAGTCTTCGGAAGCCACGAAAGACCTACAAGATACTGGCGAAGCCCTGACGCCTTACAGAACCCCAATGAAATCCTGCGATCCCCTGCAAAACACCGTAAGCCCCGTATAAAGCGGTGCAAGTGCGGCTTTGGAATCCTATACAACCCGCAGCTCAGCGAGCCTGGTCCGGATCGTACCAGCAAGCCGCCAGTGCCCTCGCCGCCAGCAACGCGCCATAGGCCGGGCATCCACTGTTACAAGGGTTACGGCGTGGCAGGGGTGTTGTGAGAGGTTTCATGGTCGTCAGGACTTGTTCCGTGGCGGTGCAAGGATGAGCAGGGTTACATGCAAGGAAACCGTGGGGAATAAAGTTCGCCATAGCCCAAGTTACGGTACTTCTATTCCCAAATTCTACAAACCATGAACCCCGAAGTCCAGCTTCCTAGGCCGGCTGGACGACCCCGTGCTACAATGTGAACTCATGGACCCTGAACTAACTTGAAAGGCTCATATGGGAAAAGCTAAGGGCTTGGCTCTTGGTATAGGAGCCTTAACAATCAAGATCAGAGTTGTGCACACCCTATTGCCCTATTGTGCTGTAATTATAACACGCACTATTGAATCACTGTTGCTAACTAGCCGAGACCAATTTAATTGAGTATTTAGAGGCCCGGGTTCGGGTTCGAGGATTTTGAGTGTAAGGTTTGGGGCTCAGCGATCTCACTTGAGGCCAAGTTGAGTGTCAGGAGGACGGAAATAAACTATAGAATACTGACTGTACTAGACCAGACTAGACTGCGAATGTACACGGGCAGTACAATGCAATACGGTACAGTACAGTACAGCACAGTACCGTGCAGTACAAGACAAGACAATACAATGCTGTACGGCTGTACAGCACTTCAAGCACGTGTCTGAGAATGTACTGTACTCTACCATGCCATGCCATAAGATACTATCCTATTGTATCCTCTACTGTGCTCCTTCCTGCTCTGCCAGGCTAGGCCAGGACTATACTAGATCATAGTATAGGAGCCTTAATAATTAGAATAGAGTTTTGGGGTGTAGTAAGCCATAATTAGTTATAGTAAGGAACCACCAAAATAATATCGGTAATTATTGTAATTATTAACGCCCCTATAGTACCGAGCAAAACCTGAGGCCCCTGGGCTAGGAGCCGCTATCTTCTGCCTGCTTCACACTGCCCCGAAGCCCCAAGGGCACCAACTAAAGTTCGTGTTCAGGGAAGTTTAGGGGTGAGTAAGCTCAGGGCTTTCGGCTTTAAAGGGCGGGATTTGTGACTTCCTCGAATTTGGAAACTGCTCTGACCCGGATCCGATGTCGTCAAGGCTAGTTAAAGGCCACTTATGTAATTGAAGGTAAGATTCCTCCAAATCAAAATCTCTGAAACAACACTTTCGCGACTCCAGTTCGGAAATCTGCACACCGCCGCCTCATGCAAGCGAATCTTAAAAATCGATAGAGCAAGCACGAAGCTTGACGAAGGCTATGGCTTCGAACCGTTCACGCCGTGTAAGAATGATTCTAGGCTTCAGATGTCTTGCCGTGTTTCTTTCTAAATAGACCTCACATCGGCATTCTGTTCGTTCTTTTCTCTCCTCATCGTTAGTCTCATTCGGGTCGTTACCATGACACCCTACACCCTAAGCCGTAATTAATATGGGTGGCTATTCGGCTTTAGGGTGTAGTAACTTGGTGAATTCGGATCTAAATGGGGTCTGAATTTGGGACTTCAGAAGTAGGAGCTTGGCTTTGCGATGGTGGGTTCAGGATTGAGGGATCAGGCTTTGCGGTTTCGTGTTTCGAGGTTCACAGGCATTTACCATCAAGAGCGTGGATGTCGGTTTAGGGTTTCGCATCGAAGGTCTGGAGTTTTGGCTTGCTGCTTTTGGCGTGCGAAGGTTGTAGCCCCAGAATTGTTGGGGGGGTTTTGGCGCGTTTGTTGCGGGATGTAGTTCCAAGTAAGCCTTCACCTTACCAGCTTGTTCCTGAGAGCAAGGGCCCTTCAAAAGGGGATCCCCTGTCCAGAAACAGCAGGAGACATGCCCAATCGAGGGCATCCGAAGCTGCAGGGAAACCCCTCTTGATGGATGAGCCAATCTCGTGTTCTTCTCTGCGTCTTAGTACCCTGCGCTCTCTGCCTACGAGGTAAGCAAATCCTTAAAGCGCTGTTCGAGTGGCTCCCGCACTAGCAGCATCGAGCTGGAAACGAAATGAAACTAATAGCTACAGGGCCCCATCAGACCCTCACAAGCCAAAAAAGGTAGATCTGCCTCCTAAACTCTGGACCATGCAAGTCCATACTTTGACAAGGCCTGATTGGGTTGTACGGTGTCTACCCCGGAGTCAGCACCACCCTAAAGCAGTTACAATGCCATGTTCCAGATCGACCGTTTCCCTTCTCGGAAGCCTTCTAAACCCTGAGCTCTATCCTGCTTCAACCTGAGATAAGTTTGGGAGGCACCGTCCACCGAGGCGTCACACAGATGAGCCGCTTGCTGCAGGCCCACAGCGCCTCTCCAAAGACTTGGGACGTAGGTTAGGGTTCAGGGCTTGGCGGTGGGAGGGGAGGGTGGAGGGGGTTTAGAGCCGAAGGGCTTGAGGGCTGCAAGGTTTGAGGTGAAGGGTGTCTACTGGCTTTAAGGGGGTTTAGGGCTGAGGGCTTAAACAGCTTGAACCAGGACTTCAGTCAAGCCGTAGGCTCAAGGGTGCCGGCTTGGACTTTTTTGGAGGATTGAGGGCTTGGCATCGAAGGGATTCAAGTTCGATTATGCTTGCAGCTACTTAGATCTCAGGCTTCCAGGATCTTCGAGGTATCGGTCTTGACTGCTTTGTGGGGAGGGCCCCGCCCCCAGAAAGGAAGATCAAGATCAAGCAACCTCGAACTCCTTCCTCCGATGCAGGTAAGTCCGTCGATTTTCTAAGTGATTAAGAACAACAACAGGGAGACGAAGAATGCTTGCACCAACGATGATGGAACAACAGCTAAGGCAACCGGAGTAGCTACAGGTACAACCTTCAAAACGGCGCTGGTAGATCTATGGCTCAAGATCGCAAGCCCGAAGACTTCACCGACTTGTTATGCTCTTTCGTGGTGGGGTTCGGTGCATTTTTTTAACAATTTCCGTTGTTGAGGTTTTCAGACTTTAGGTGGGTTAAGATCCCGGGGCCTACCTTAAGCACCTCCTGGAGACAGTCCGGTCTGACAGCTTTCTTTTCATGCCCTCTGCCGCATCGTCTGCCAGTGCGGAGTCCCAGATTTCAGTCTCCGCTGGAGAACGAAGCTGTGAGTTAAGGGAGTAAGTGGTCGAAACATTGGCTGCCGCAAAGCACTTAGATCCTCTGTGCTCTACACTCTACACCTCTTTGGAACCCTAACTCCCCGTCTCCAAAGACATGGCAATTGCTGCCGCTAGCTCCTCATCGATCTCCTCTGACTGCTCAGCCGGGGCTTCCCTGACCTGCGCTGAGCCCTTCCTGGGCTTCTCTCGCTTCTTCCGCTCTGCATACCTCAGTGCTTGGCTTGAGAAGAGGGGCGGCTCAACCTTTGCCAAGACCCCTGTGCCCAAAACCCCAAACCCAAAGCCCTACAAGACCACCAACAACCTAACGACCTAATGAACCTCAGCAACCGAGGGGCAGCCTCTGGTAGACATCTTGTCCAGACCACAAGGCTTCGAATTTTGTCAGGTCGATCCAGACCTCTCTGGGTTTCGAGCTGTGGCTTTGTCTTCCAAGCTCAGGGACGGGCCCTGAACCTGAACCCGAATTCCTAAACACGAATCCAATATTCAGCCACCCTAATCCCTAATTCCTAAAGCCAATTCCGAAATCCGAAATGCGTACCTTGAGATGCATGTGCGCAACATTCTGGAAGTTCCCGGCATTCCTGGGAAGAGTCTGCAGGATGTAACTTTATAACCCTAACCCCGACTAAGGCTTCCAAGTTTATTCGGCTTAGGCTTCCGAGTCTATTCGGCTTAGATTTCCAAGTTTAGGGGTGCATACTGCACTCTCCTGCGCGGCGCCCCTAACGAACGAAGGTCTGGGGGCGTGAACCAGGCAACCCAGAGCAAGGAGTTCAGGGGTTTACGGTTTACAGGGGTGTGGAGTTTAAGGTTTAAGTGTCAGGGGCTTAGGAGTCTAGGCTTGCTGTTGCAAGCGAACGCAAGAATCGTCTAAACCGTCCGGCTGACAGTTCTACCGGAAAGCCGTTTAAAGCTAAAGCCCTGAAGCTCCAGAAGTTTAGGGTTCTTAGGGTCTGCTTCTTTTCACGTTTTTATGAAGTGTAATTAGGGGGTTTGGGCATCAGAACCCTCAAGATCGTGCAGGGCGTCAGGTGCATTTCGTCGAAGCCCCCGTGGTTTTCGGCCATCTCGGCCCCTGTCTGCCAGAAGGTCGCCAGCTCCTGTTGAGGGTCTTTTTGGTTTAGGGTCACCACGGTCCACGGATGCCGGTCGGGCATACTGGCATCGGAAGCTTCGAGCTTGGGTTTTTTTCGACTCGAGGCTTCAGGGTTAGGTATTTCGAAGTCCCAATACATGGCAACAGAGAACGGAGCAAGGAAGCCGGGCATATTTGATAAAAGAGCAAGTGTCCAGAAGTGGTCGGGCAGCGCTGAACGTATTTGCATGTACTTTTATGTTGCTCTTTAGAAACATTCCAATATCCGGGTGCGACAACAACGACACCGTGCCATGCTAATACTCATGGAGAAGCCACTCCAGGTCATGGTCAAAGGGGTTCCGCCTTCTAGGCCAGGTAACGGTTTGAAGCTTCAGGGCGGACTGGAAGTGGAGCAGGCAAAGGAACAACAGTCCTCCCGAGAAGCCCTAATCCCGGAATGCCATGAGCCCGAGCACCCCAAGCCAGAAACCACAGCATGCCCTGCTCTCAATCCCTTGACTTAAGCGCCAAAGCCCTCACCCCCAAGGCCCAAGCTCCCTTAAGCTGCTAAACCCTAAACCCCAGAGTACCAGGAAAGACACAAACCCTACTTGAATCCCAATTCCTACCGGAGCCCTCATCCCCAAAAGCCCCATGCAAACCCTAAACTCCCGAAGCCTACACCCTAAAACCCCCCAACCCTAAACCCCCAATGCATAAACCTTCAAACTCCGAACGCCTGAACCCTAAGCCACCTCCGAACGCCTGAACCCTAAGCCACCAAAGCCCAGGGATGATCCTCGTCATCCAGCTCACTCTGGCGGCGAACGACTTCGTCGTTCTTCAGCGCGCAGCGCGAGGCCCGGGAGTTGGGTGCCATCACAACCACGTAGCCTGGTCTTACAGGTGAGAATTTTAGGAATCTGGGTTTCAGGGTTTCGGGCTTTAGGGTTTTAGGGGTTTGGGGTTTTAGGCTTCAGGGTTTGGGGTGAGGTTGGGATTCCAGCACGCTTCTTCCTGTTTTCCACTGTATCTAAGGCACTCAAAAGGGTCCAGAATGTTGAGAACAACCCTTACATCTATCTGCAGGTCTTCTCAATGAAGGGAAGGCCAAGCCTTCCACCATGATCGCAAAATCCTTAAACAGTTTGCAGCAGGAGTTCGAGCAGGGGACCCTACGGCCCGCAACTCTCGGTGGCTCCAGTGAGAGCGATCCTGAAAGCCCTCAAACCTAACCTCTAAAGCCCTCATTTGAATATCGACCTTAAAGCCCCTAAGCCCCGAGCCCCTGCATGCCCCGCATGGACTTCTGCACAGCTTCCCCGAAATCTGAACTACCCTGAACCCTGTACCTCAAACCCGAAACAGGACAGAGCCCTGTAAACCCATGAACACCCTGATTAAAAACCGTACACAACCGTGAAAACCACAAGAACCTTGGTTTCAATCCAACAGAACGCAATGAAGCCATGAAAACCCTGTCAAGCTTTGCAACACTTTACATTCAAGCCCACCATGTAAACTGGCCAGGAGGCAAGAGCGCCCCTGAAAGTCTAAGCTGCAGCGCACTTTTGCGTCAGGCTCCTGCAGCTTTCTTCGGATTCTTTAGGTTTCTCAGTGCCTTTGAGAACCCTGTAAGAACCCGTCTGATAATGAGGAAACCTATATGGTAGAGACGAGGGTTTAGGGTGTGCCAAACACAATTGGCCTTCAGACGTCCCCAAGATCGCCGCCCACTTGCAACTCTTGGCGTTGGAGGCGTACGTTGACAAAACCCTGTTCAATGCAGACAACAATACCTCTGCGAAGTATGCAAGTCGTGCCGTGGCGTCGTCACTTGCATGTGAATATGTCCTAACAACACACCCCAAATGCCCTACAACCCTCGTTAACACATCTGTTCAAGCGTAACTTTCCGGAATGATTGTCGTAGAACCATGGAAAAAGAACCCCAAACCCTAAACCCCTAAAATGCCTCAAGTGCTCCTCCCCACGCAAGAGGCAGCTCCGCAGCGTCAGGCCTGGCACTTCGACATGCTTCCCGTCGGCATCCTCGCAGGTCTTAAACGCATTTATACCTTCACTGTATATTACGTATTGTATGTTGTACGTTACATATTGTATACTGTATTCTATAGGTATCATATCCTCGATAGTCTAGGCTTTCGGGGAGTCGGGTTTAAGCTTGTGGGACTCTAGGGTTTCGGGTTGAGGGGCAATTATAGAGTGTAGGACGCTAGCATTTAGAGCGAAGGAGATTGAGGTCTACAATCGGTTTGAGGTACATATGCGATTTAACCTCGAGTTGCTGAGCTAAGTCTTGCAAAGCCCCGGGGCCCAGTCTCCTGGTAGATGATGGGAGCATCCAGGTCATCCGCATTTGCCATGGCGGGAATGAAGCGGACGACTGCGTTCGTCCCCGCCACGTAGACAAAGAAGCCTTTCTTCTAGGATCAGTCTGTTCGAGAGATGGCTGCTATGAACTTATGACATTTCGGTTGATGAGAGGTGGAAAATCACTACAGCTTTTAGTATGCCCACGCTTTGTCTTGCGTGCGGCAATTGCCATCATCAGCATCATCGTCACCACCAACATCATCATCACAACCAACATCACCGACTCCTCATCATCGCTCTTACCCTATCATTACCCTGATCAGCATCATCGTTCTCGAAGTCGTCGTGTTAAAACTTCGATAACAACAGATCAAAGCTGCTTTCTTGCTTTGATCAGATGCCTGCCGCAGCCGCTGCTTGGCAGACGGGCCGCGAGTCCTCCGCCGCCCAAACACCAGAAGCAGGGGTTGTCCAAAGCTCTAGAGTTTTCTACAGACTATGAAACCACTTTTCCGCATACGGTAAAGGGGTTTCAACACTGACTCTGAGGTCCTGGACCGGAACCTAAACTCACGCAACACCTTGAACAAAGCCAAACCACAAGGTGGCTATATGGCTATATGTAGGGTTGTGCACTCAAGTAAGTAGTCGTGCTACAGAGCCATGTATCACCAGTTGTGGGCTGTTGTACTCCCGTACCGTCATATACCACGCAGCAGACTTCAAACCCTCTTCATAATATCGTGTCAGCCAGCTTCTTCAAGAAACACTAGCCCAAGCCACATCTCCACACGCTTCTAACTCTCACCCCTCCTTTACATGCTTTCCGCTGAAGCCTCAGAGCGGACAGTGCGCACAGTTCCATGTCACAGTCCTCTGGAGGCTCACTCGAAGAAAACTGAGTAGTTTTGTACATACATATATGTATATCGTGTATATATATATATATATATGTATATAGACATTCACCAGAAGGCTTCTCTTACATTAACAACCCCTCATGTCTAAAACCACCAACAGCCCAAACTCTAAACTTGTTCAACAATCCCCCATAACACCCTGTCAACCCCCACAGCGCCACCTCGGTAAGCAAAAAGAGCGCCAGGGCTTCATCGCCCGAAACCGCGGCTGGAAGATCGCTGGCTCCACCCGGCCAGGGCAGCAGCCGGAGGTGATAGGAAGTGAGCCCGAGCTCCTGCTTATAGGACGTATAGGACATACTAAGTTGAAAGGCTTCATATAGAAATTCTAAAGGCTTCTTATAAGGATCTGGGCTTCTGCCTTCTCGGATATTTAGACAGGGCTTTTTAGAAGGGGTTTATGGGACCCTAGCTGCTGCTCGTCTATATATATATATATATATAGATAGATACACAACCAAGATCTGAGAGAGAGAGAGAGACAGATAGACATATATATATATATAGAGACATGTATGTATATGTATGTATGAATGTGATGTACTATTATAGCACACGGTAACCGTATTTTCTACACTATAGCATTATAGTAACATGAACTCACGGCTTCCCCTCGCTCGGGACTGACGGCTTATCTGAGAGCTCCTCCTCGATGACTCGAAGCACATCTCGCATGAAGGGGACGAACTGCGCCGTTCGTACGTACTCCTCGAAACACGTGGCACCCGAGTGGTCAGTGGGAGCCAGTGCTGACATAATGGTCCCACGCTGGCTGACGCCGACATGGTGGATGACTCGCTTTGCTGGCTCCATGGCACGGGTCAGCTTTCAGGTCAACAGTTTAGGGGAAGTAGAGGGGGCATCCACACAATGCGACATGTTGCTGAAGTGCTGTGCTTCGATTGCCTTAACCTTACGAGTATCCGGCTTGGCGAGGAATCTCCCAGCTCTGCGGTACTCGGCTTTACAGCAGCGTGAAAGCTTTTGGCAATGCAGGAAATGTCGCCCAAATGAGCCGCGATTTCGGCTTTGCACGAACTCTCATGTAGTGGCTTTACAAGTATAGTCGCCGGTTCCTAGAGGTGTGAGAGCTTCCATTCTGCAGTCGCAGCAGAACGACCGGCACGTACACAGCAAGCAGAATTCCGGCCATCTCAGAACCTTGTGAAAACACGACTTACAAAGAATGTTGAAAAAGCACCTGCACCCAAAACCCCCAAGTACACTTGCTTGTGCTATGAATGTTACTGGCTTAAGCCCCAACCCCCGAACTAAATCCCAAGCTCAAAGCCCAAACCTACAACGGCAAATCCCAAACCCCTCACAAACCCTGATACCCAAAACCTTTGCCTTACACAGCCTGAGACCTACCTACAGTCTCCGTTGTAGTTCCCTTTTTGGTTAACTGACCTTACATTATAGGATCCTAACCAGATGGTTTACCCAAGAAGGGAATTACATTGGAAAGTATAATATGAGGGCCTTACCAATTAGAACAGGGTTTGGGGGTACATTGCAGCAGAACTAGAATAAGGAACCCTGGGAATACTATTGGCAATTTTTCTGGCCAGAAACCCAACCCTTAAACCCTAAACCCGGAGCTCCTAAACCCTAAGCCCCTAAACCCTAAACCGTCAGGTGCCTTCTTCTCCACCGCCACCCACTCAGGGCACTGGCAGTCCGCCTCACTGCGTTTTGCAGCGACCTTTCGTTGAGGGTTTACGGTTTAGGGTTTAGGGTTCAGGTTCGGGCTTAGGGTCTAAATTCTGTTGTGTACATGTGTTTCGAGGGTGCGCGGGCCTGAGGCTTCAGGTTACATTTTGAGATGGGGGAATCATGGGTGCACAAGTGTGTAGACATCAAGGTTTGAGGTTTCTATATATCCTGCACCTCAAGCCCTCACAACTTGAACTCACACCCTAGACCCAAAGCCCCGAAACCCTACTCTTCAAACCCTAGACCCCAAACCCTAAACCCTTAAACCCTCTTCCCTGTAGAGCAGGAGAAAACCAGGCTCGATGGCCTTGCCGTGTGTCGGAGTAGTGCCGGAGGCAGCAGAAAGGCAGCCTCACAGTCTGTGCTTCGGGATTTATAAGGGGCTTATAGGGTTTTGGGGTATCGGGGTTTAGGGTGTTTGTGGTTTAGGGGCTGTCGTTTGCAAAGGTGCAATGAAGTGGTTTGGGTTTAGGATTCAGGGTCTTCGGGATCCTCGTGTTGAAAAGTCGGATTGGGTCTTGGGGAGGGGGGAGGGGGCTGTGTGGGAGGCACAAACTTAGCCCGTAAGCTGAGGGCGTCAGCCCAAAACCGAAAGCTCACCTCGAAGCGCCAAAGCTAAAGTCAAGAAGATCCCCTGACATAAACCCGAAAACCCTATATCAAAAAACCATTATCCCCGCTTGCTGCTATGCATAGAAGGCCCTGCCTATATCATCAAAGTCTGAACGCCAAACCCAAAGCACCTTCGTAGCCGCTGCCCCAGCGCCTGCAGAGCCAACGGCTTCGTTGGAGCTGTCGGATTTTCTGTGCAGGGTGACATCAGGAGGGCCTCCAGGTTCTCAGAGTTCGCATGGGTTTCTGTTAAGGATAATATCGGGCTTTAGGACTTTGAACGTGTTTCTGGGTGTTTGGTGTGGGCGTCTGGGGTAGCAGGCTAAGTTGTAACTTTTCTGCTGTTAGATGCAACCTTTTTTTCCTCTTAGACGTAACTTTTCCTCTTAGACGTAACTTTCTTCTACCCACCCCACCTACCACACCTACAGTACCGTCACTACCCCACCTGCCCCACCTAGCCCATCTACCCCACCTACCCCGCCTACCCCGCCTACCGAAGCTTTTACCCACGACGAAAACCCTAAGGAGTGAATCCAGCAGAAAACTGTCACCGAACGCGAAAACCCTAAGCAGTGAGTGCAGCAGGAACCTTTGGAAAAGACCAAAACCCTGACGCGTGAATCCAGCAGGAACCGCTTACCCAAGACGAAAAGCCCAAGGGGTGAATCCAGCAAGAACCTTTTACCCAACACGAAAACCCAAAGGCCTTAAGGAATGTTTTAGCCAAGACGAAAACCTAGGGAGTGGACTACCCAAGACGAAAACCCTAAGGAGTGCATCCGGCATAAACCTTTTTAAAACAACAAAACCCTGAGGAGTGAATCCAGCAGGAATCCTTGACCGAAGACGAGAACAAGGAGTGAATCCAGCAAGAACCTTTTACGCAAGACGAAAACCCTAAGACTTGAATACACCGAGAACCTTTAGCCCAACACGGAAACCCTAAGGAGCCGACGCAGCGAGAACCCTTCACCCAAGACGAAAACCCTAAATGAATCTTGTGTGACGGTTCTGGTTTGGTGCTAAATTGCTAAATACATCAGAAAAAGTTAGTGGGTTGGTGCTAAAGACACCCAAAAAATCTAAATTAAAATGCCTGTTCTGCAACCCTCTGCAGAGATTTGCTCTTGTGAGAGCCGAAAAAAGTTACAACTCAGTCCTTTTGCTGAAGAGGCTGGAAAGTTACACCTAAGAGAAAACAGAAGTCACCACTAGGTGTTCTACCGCTTCTGCTTCCGGGCTTTTGGGCTTTTCAGGGTTTCGAGTGTACGTGAGTTTACGTCTTGGGTGTCTACGCTGCTTAGGGCTTTAAGTTTCGGCTTCAGGATCAAGGCTGCAGGGCAGAAAGGAAGCTTTGGATTTTTATGGTTTAGAGCTTAGAGCATATCGAGCCGCAAGGTTGAGGGTTTTGCAACAGTCCAATGTTACGTAAAGACTGCACCCCAAAGCCCTCAACCCTAAGCCCAAAACACTCCTGAATTGAGGGCTGAAGGATTCCAGGAAAAGCGCTGAGCTTGGCGCTTGGGGGTCGGCGATGGAAATGGTTTTCGGTCTATGGACTGCGCTAATACAGGGGCCTTGACAACTAGAGCAGATTAGGATAGGATAATGGGGGGTGCATTATAATTGAAGTATAATTTATAGCAAAGTGCAAAACTGTCAACTATTCAAGCTTCATATCTTTCCCTAATGCAGCGCCGCAAGCCACCCTAAGTAAGGGCTGATCAGGTTTAGGATTTAGGGTTTGTCGGGGGTTTAGGGTTTAGGAAGGCGGCCCAAACCAATCACAGGAAAGGCTTTCGAATCCTCTGACTTCAGCTCTCCGCAGATTCAGAAACCCTGGCCCTATAACCCCGGTTCATATGAAGAACCCCACCTTTTACAATGAACTTCAAGGACTCAGCAACCTAACCGCTGACTGAGGCTGACACCCCCCAGAACCGGTAGACCGGTAGTTCGCAAATCCAGAGACCCGGGGCTACACTTTGTAGACCCTGCATATTCTGGTACAATATGATATATAGTTGTATATTGTTTAAATGACGGTATAGTACTGCTTAGTTTGGTTTATCACAGACTCGTAGAGTTCTCCTCTAGTTGAACGAAAACCCTCCCGTTCCACACGGCCCCAAATTGCAAAAGTCGATTCGTCGTAGCTATAATCATCTTCTCAGAAGAATCATACACTGAGACCCGCTTCTGCTGATCACCTCCGTAGCGAAATCAGCAAAAACCCTAATCCCTGAACCCTGATCCTCAGCAAACCCTATCTCCAAACTGCAAAAACATCCTGCCTGCTCCGGCGGTGAGGCGCAATGCCACGGCCACGGCTCCCTCTGCAGATGGGCCGCCCCACCTGGGGACTTCTCGAATTGCAGGCTCTGTGGGGGTCTTATTGGATCCTTCGGCTGGTTGAGAGTCAGTGTTGCGTTACCATGACCCTAAACCCTGAACCCTAAACCCTAAACTCTAAACCCAAACCTAAACCCTAAACCCTAAACTCTAAACCCTAAACTCTAAACCCTAAACCTAAACCCTAAACCCTAAACCCGATCTTGAAGGAATATCCGAGCTATGAAGCATCTTGCTGGATCATGCTATCCTTCTTGTGGCGGGTCCCACTGTGGCCATCTCCCCATCCCTGGCTGGTAGGTTTCTGGTAATACTATAACAGTCTTCAATCTGCCATGAGTCGTTGGGGATAGGATTTAAAATACTTTACATAGTGCTGACTGTGATGATTTGCGACGGCTATGACGACATTCATGGCGAAACATTATCTGCATGATCGCTGTTGCAAAGGGTGCTACTATCAGTACTGACATCACTGTATTGGTAGTAACATGATGCCTCTGGTGCCTACTAATGTTGGCCGGTATAAAAGGTCACCAAGACCACGACTATGAGTCGCCAGCTGCGGTTATGAATGTCAACTCGTTGATAGTGTTAGCAATACTACCACATTGCAGAGTGGTTCTTCGGCGCCGCACCTGCAGCTGCAAGCGTTCTCATTGTTCTGACATCGTCCTATTCCAAAGAATTTCGTTCTCTTCTTCGTCTTCGCCAAGCAGGGGACCTCAAGTTCAATGATAGCACATACAAGCCCAATCAAACGCAACAACATCAACAAGTGGTGGCCATAATGACCAACATAAGATACTCTTTGCGGGAAGAGCAGAGTATTGCCAGTAGCAACAACAAAAGTCCCTAAAATTATTTGGTCGCCTTCGTACACGGAAAAACAACAATCATCATCATATTGTCAGCCCCATGAATATTTCACATGCAATGAGTGGATTGCTTTTGTCCAGGACATCGTTGGTTTCTGTTGTAGCCTCTCAAGCCTCAGAAAACCTCCAGAGTTTCCATTTAACCAGTTTTCTGGTCGCCAGACACAGCAAAGAACAGTTGAATCGTAAACACTCCCCCAAGCCGCCAGCCCGAAACTCGAACTTCACGGCACAAGCACACCCTTCATCGCAAGCTGATTCTGAACCGCCTGCACTCCTTGTGCACACGGGAGCGGGCTCGCACCTCCCCGCATTAAGCCACTGAGCCTATACACCCTGACTGAGCACCGAAAATACGCCGTCTCGGATACTCGGATACCAGAGAAAACACTTGTACTGAACACATTAGTTATGCTTTGGAGCGCATCCTGCAACAATCGAACTCCTCAGAAGCTCCCAGTGAAGGCAACCAACCCGGTGAGGCGAAGACCCGAGAGTCATCTGAAGGAAACCCGCCGCCGCACCCAAGACGCCACCGGCGACGATGAGGGTGAGCTCGTCCTGAAAGCAAGAAAAGGGCCTGTAGGACTTTACATTTGGTTTTGGAGTTTTGGGGTGTGTTGTGGTATAATTCCGTATAAGTATGCATCCTGGCAGCACATGAAGTAGGTCTTGCAGTACCACTACCACCCATACAGAGTAACATCCTAACTGAGGTTTGTGATGAGCTCATGAGTTCAGAGGCCGGTGGACGCACGCTAAGTTCTTCGGGTTCAATGCCCTTTCGCCTCCGGACGAGTAGGACCCCTCAGTGCGATCCCATTCCCATTATTCCTTAGCTTCTGGTGCAAGCCCAGAAATCCATACTGTTTTGCATTGTACTAAATTATAATCTGTTCTAATCTATAACGTTCCTCTGTTATATTATATATCATATTCGATTTTATGATAGATGGGTGTCCTCTGCGATGTTTGACCAACTTCGGGCTGAAGCTGTGCGCGGTCACCAAGCATCATACAGCATACAGAGTCAGCCCCACAGGCAAATGCCCAAAGCAGTTTGGGCTTTAGGGTTTAGGGTACATATGTCAAGCTCCACGGCGTCCACAGCAGCAATCAGCGAAGGACAAGTCCAAGGCCAACCCCTCTAAACATTGGAAACAATGACATATGACAGAACATAATTTATATACAAATGTAACAATACAACTAGCATATAAAGCATAATAAAGTAGTTTAGAGTTCCTCACGGGTTGCGGAGCGTTTGTTTATCACGAGCCCTACCCTTATCCAACTGGGCGGTTGCACACGCAGCTCCTGCACGTATACTATAGCGGCCTTAATAACTCCTATAGGGATTTTGGGTATTGTGTACCCTAGTTATAATGAAGAACCCTTAAGGAATACTGTTGGTAATTATTCCGACCCATAGTACCCGAAGATTCAAACCCTAAAACCCTGAACCAGTTCGTCCAGACTGGTGCCTGGAATTTGTGAACCAATTGGGGCTTGAATCGCAGCCCGAACACCTCAGCCCTCTTCCAAGACAGAGACGACAAGCCAACGCCCTAAGTAGAGCCCTAGCCGCTATACCACCAAAACCCTGAACCCCAAACCCTAAAGCCGTATACCCTGAAAGCATATCCCACTGTACAGCCCTGAAAGCCTCTTGGAACACCGGATGCAAGAGATTCTCGAACTCGGGTGCGCTTAGCATGCAGAGACGCTTGAAGAGCCTGGCATGGATAGCAGGAGGGTTTGCTTCAGTGTCGTTATTAGCGCTGATTTTTATTTATCAATGTAACTTACTATCGCTTATTAGTATCAGGATTCACCACGGGCTCAATGTTTGGCAAAAAGGCTTCAGGGTTTTACAAGCCTCTAGTGTTGAGGATGAACTGTCTGATTTGTTGCTTAGGGTTCAAGGTCACCCTCAATCAACTTTCCAAGCCCAAGCCGGTCTGAACCCTGATTCCCAACCCCATGACAAACACAAACCCAAGGTACTAAGATCCTTACCAAACGCACCATTGGACTAATTTTCAGACACATTACAATAGTCATAAAGAAACAACAAAGATCTGAAGGAAGCCTAAGGAATAAAGATAACTACTCAGTGCCCCTATATTCGGGCGAATTCACATTGGGTTGTCTGCGGGCTGAGCTGTTGGGTGGGCTGCGGGCTGAAGCTTTAAGTGTTGCAAGGGGCTCGAAAGGTTAAAGGCTTTAGGGTTTAGGGGCTTAGGGTTTTAGGGTCTATGGTCTAGGGGCATAGGATTCACGAGTTAGGGGTTCGGGGTTTAGGGCTTAAGTGGCTTAAGCATTGCCTGGTGCCTACGGCTCAGAACTTTGGGCTTGAGATCTGGAGCGCAGGGGGAAAATGTAAAGCCTCAGTAAATACATTGGAGCTTTGGGCGATATTGTAACGCACTAGTAGGACCGTACACGGAAACGATTTTCAATTATTTACAAGCAGATGGATCAGAACTGGCTCTCTCTTGGAACCCTGCACAACTCCGCGCATAACTTGAGCGACGCTTGTGTTCGAAATCGAACTCCAAACACTGGGCCCTTAAACCCTAAGTCACTCAACACAGCCATAACTACGCTGCACTGGAAGCAGCGCTCAACTCGACACCTTGGCAGCTATTTCTTTCACGTTGGTTTCAAGCGATGCCCCCCTGAACAAGCGAAGTCTAGCACACATATGTGCACATAACATACGTGCCTTTGCACGTATATACGCACGCACACACCCATGGCTACGCATACTATTCTGTACATGCAGTACTTCCATAGGACTCGTGTATATGTGCACTCGTGTACACTCTAACATTGAAGAGAGCTATCCCTGAACCCAGCTTAGGCCCCTTTGTGCGGGCCTAGGTTGAATCGCGAGAACCCTGCATGCCCCTCCCAAAACCCCGTAAATCGCCAGCCCAGCGTGTCTTGCAGCTGCAGGGTGCTATCCTCGGAATCGGATCGGAGAGGGCAAACCCCGGCTGCGACCATGCCGGAAATAGTACATCCGTAGTTTAGACCCCCACGGCTATGTCCCGCGATATCGTGTTAACTAGTCAGACCTTTACATGCATCAGACTCATGTTCTGCCACTCGGGAGCACAGCAACCGCAAGCTCCCTGTCAGGCCCAGGATGTGTCGTTTCAGGTGTAAGGCTTAGGGACTCGAAGTATGTAGTTTCGGGCTTAAGGTGAGCCTCAACCCTCTTCTGTCTCTTTACTCTCAGCCCGATGAACTTGATAGCCCTGAGAACCCCCAAAAAGACTTCGACCTCATACCGCCAAAGCCCCCGCAAACCACCAACCCATCGAAATTAACTTAAACCTCGCACCCTTCTGCCCTGCAACCTCTTAACTCCAATTTTCTAAATTCTGCCAGGGGGTGTGAGCCGTAAATGTAGGTACGCTTAACGGAACCCCAGCTTCATGGGAACCCTCAGGGGGGTTCCCTTATAGGAACCCTCCGAGACCCTGACCACGTAGGTGTGTACCGGATGCGTCGCAGGCTCCAGTGCTACCTGCACCGGGTCTTTGATGTCGGCTAAGGGCTTATGTGAGGTCTGACTTTAGGCCAAGGATTTAGGGCTTGGGGCTTAGTCGGTTTAGTCGTTTAGTGTTTGTAGGGCTTAGGGCTCAGTGTTTCGTGGGCATGTGTAAGGTGTAGGAGTTTAGGATTCAGGGCTCAGGGCTTAGAGTTTAGGACTAGGATTTAAGCCTTCTGGTGGAGGTTCGGGGATGGGCCAAAGATTCAGGTTTACAACTGAGGGTGTAAGGCTTTAATTCGGTTGCTCACCTGGCAAACCTCACATTCCTTCTACAGCCCGTTTTGCTGAGACAAGCCGCCCCCTAAACTCCCAGAGATCCTTGCTAAGTCAGTGAAGACTAAGCCCGCGAACTGCAATCCCTAGGCGGAAGCTCAGGCGGAAGAACATCCGACATCCTAAACCGCAAATCCTGAAACTAAACATGGCCTTCTAAATCCACAGCCTGACTTTTGCTTGGCAGCCTCCCAGTAGCACGTCGTTGAGTAGCAGCTGAGCCGTCGCCATCATCGTCACTGTCATCATCATCGTCAACATCCGGTATCCTTCCTGCAACGATCATGCCTGCGGCTGTGTCATGTAAGACGAGTCGTCATAACAATTATACCAACACTAACAAAACTAATGCTAAATTAAAAGTAGGAATAATAATCAGCCTCAGCACTAAAACTGACAATACGAAACATGATCATCATCATCGTCATCATCATCATCACCATCATCATCATCATCATCATAGCAATAAGAATAACAACAATACGAACAATCATCAGTATATATACATATATGTATAATTAAACACATGCAAACATGGGCACGTGCGTGCGTATCGCACGCACGCACGCAAGCACGCACGCACGCACGGACAAATATACATACATACATACATACATACATACATACATACATACCTACCTACCTACCTACCTACCTACCTACCTACCTCCCTGCCTACATACATACATACATACATACATACATGCATACATACATACATACATACATACACACACAGTGTACATACATACATACATACATACATACATACATACATACATACATACGTACATACATACATGCATACATACACACATACATACATACGTACATACGTACATACGTACAATAAAATACAATATGACAATACAATACAAATGTGATAATCAAAAGAACAATCATCTTCATAGTAATATAACACCTATCTAGCCTTTCTCCAGGGCTTCTACCGAACCTTCTTCAAAGCTCCGGCAGCTGCAGCTACGACATGATCCGGCACCTGGACAGCTTTGGCTGCCATTGACTCAGAGGCTCAAGCTTTGAGGAGATAGGTTCAGGGCTGAACCCTTAACCCTGAACCCTGAACGGGGGAGCAAGCTTTTGAGCACAAGTCGAAGACTGACGGCTTTCAGGTCCCGCGCAATGCAACCGGAACCCGGTGCCCTCGGCCCAAGCATGAGCTGAAAAGTCTTGCGCCAAGGGGCAGGGACCCCATAATTAAACCCTAAAGCCCTGAACCGGCTCCTCGATACAATAGCCCCCCTACCTGTCGCTGCCATCCGAGACCGTGGCAATCGCTGGTACCGATTTTCGCACCAGCGCCTGGCCGCTAATCCTACAGTCCCTACAATCCTAAACCCAAAACCCCTAAACCCTAATAAGGCCCCGAGATTAGCACAAGCCCCCTAGAAGAGGGCTGTGGAACTGGACCACATCGATGCAAACATCATACTCTGGGTGGATTCCTGGCACGCACACCCGAAAACACACTACCGGCAGCACTCCGAAATACACTGTATCTCCACATCCTATAAAGCTGGAAAGCGTAAGCCCTGAGTGCTACATAATCCTCAACCAACGCGTCCTGGACAAAACCCAAAACCTGGACGTCAGGGCCTGAAACTTTTCCTTGTTCCTCCCATTTGCTATTTCGCCAATCAGCCGTTTGGAGGTAAGAACCTTGGCGGTCATGAAGGCTCTTCGGGGTCCCAAGTCGCAAGGTACCATCATAGAGACGAGCCTGACTGTAAGCAATAATACTGGATACACCAACTACAAAACAAGGCAGTGTGAACTGGGCGATGCGTTGCCGGGGGCTGACAGGATGGCTGGGCTCGGGCTACATAGTTTTTGCCGGCCGTGTTTGGTGCCCTGCGGCGTTGCACACTCCATGCACAGTTACCTTCAATCAACAGATGCCGGACACCAGAGCCGGGGAGGGTCGTAGGCCCAGACGCGCGCCGCCAGGAATTCAGAGAACTCCTCTGAAACCTCGCAGGGTGTACTAGCTTGTCCCTTGAGGGCCTCCTCCGATCAACAGGTTTAGGGTTTTTTCGGGTTTATTAGGGTTTAGGATCAATATTCCTAAAGAAGATGCTCTTAAGCCTAATAGGGGAAGATATAACATATCCAAGAGGCCTACCTAGTGCATATTTGGATCGACGCTTTCTGTCTTCGTAGCTAGACAGGAGAAACTACGCTTTAAGGCGACTTTCACTAAGCTTCGCTCAATGAAACACCCCCTGTAACTGTACGGTGACCGCGGGGAGGAGGAGGAGGAGGATGCCGAGAATGCGAGTGATCATTGCAAGAAGGGAACAATGACGACGGGACAGGTATGCTGACAACGTCGATGTCGGATATCATAAGCTAGGATAATACGGATGTCTCGCATGAGTCTGGTTCGGCAGACGCTATCGATCGTACAAAATGAATTCTGAAGTTCAGTTCGCGTTCTTGAGAACACAAAATCATATTCAATCATGTTCTTCACACATCATCGTCGAAACCTGTAACAGTGTCAGTTACGCCTGAGGGTTGCAGGTTGGGTCGTCTGGAACTGGCATTCACGTCAAAGCGATAGTAGACGGAGCCAGGATCCAAGATGCCCCGACTTTCATAGCGCCTCCAGAGTAGCCTGAATTGAGTCAGGTCGAGCCCATCTAGCATGCAGCCTGAGCCGAACAAGTAAAAAACTCTTCACCATCAAACCGTCAGACCCAAACTTAAACCACCAAACCCAAAAGTCTTCTGTCGATGAGGGTTGATAGTGGGGACCTAAGAAAACGCAGGTTGTGCCAGTGTAAGTGTGAGCTATGCTCCAGAAACCCCAGCCTCCACCTGACGCTTCTCGAAAAGGCCTTGGAAGACGAACGGCCCCACCTGCAGCGGAAATGCAGTAATGCGTGCACTGCTGCACTCCAAAGGCTAAACCCTCCGGCTATTCCCGAGTCCCGTACACCAACACCCAACCCCAACTAAGTACTTGAAGGTTTCTGCTGAAGGGTACTCGTGTGGACCTCTGCCTAGAGAAGCCTAGGAAGTCTGCAGCTTAGGGCTTATAGGATTTACGACTCGGGTTATGTAAAATAGGGGCCTTAATTAATAACTAGATTTGGGGTTTGGAGGGCAGTATACTATAATTACAGTACGTAGGGACTCCAGGGGTGATCGTGCTCCTTCGTTTAGGCCCCGAGAGTCCAGAGAACCTACTACACCAGACTGCACCTTATCACATCGGGCTTCTCTTCTTTCTGCGGAATGGGTTTGGATTTGAGGTCTCCTCGGGTGTCGCAGCAAATGCCGTCATGCCCTAAAAGGAAACTTGAGGAAACACCAACACTCATCATCCATTTGCAGGCACTGCGGGGTATTAGGGTCCGTAACGTTTAGGATGAACAGCTGCTGTGCCACCTTCGTTGGCTCAACAGGATCAAAGATGAGCTTGATCGCCACCCAGTTCCTGATGAGCAGTGGGCCGAAAGTCCGGCAACGAACACCCAAGCCGCCACGATGCACTTACATACGAGTTAAAACGTTGGCAGGAACCAACTGACACAGTAGTTCGCACCGACGGAGTGCTGCTGTGCAATTTATAGTACAACATTCGGAATGCAGTTCGAATTGCCACAGGTTCAGGGCTGCAGGTTGTGGGTGGAGGCTGCCAAGTGTAGGCAGTTTTCCGGTGTCTGGACCGGCCGGAGCACGACAACTGCAAGGCGAAGGGCCACGAAGGAAATTGCAAGTGCTGGCGGCATCGTGTCATCTACCATCAATGGTCACTCGTACAGTGATCGACTGGGGGAAACAGTCGGAAAACTCGAAGGACGTATCACCGAGGAACGAGCACCGTGATCATATCCAGGCAATACGAAGACAGACATGACTTCTGCTCCTCTTGCTGCATTCCTGAAAAACTGGTAACTAGACCAGAGATCGTACCGTCACCACCATCATCATCATCATCATCATAAGACTAGATACGGTGCATCATCATCATCACCATCATCATCATCACCATCATCATCCCCATCGCCAACGCCATCACCATCACCATCATCATCATCATCGTCATCATCATCACTATCACTACCATTTCTGCTTTCCATTTTTAGCATCAGAGCTGTGATAAGAAAAACCTGATCGTCGTCGCCACGGTGGTCATAGTTACCCTCGCGAGAGCCATGATTAGCGAAGCTACGACAACTCGGATGAAACAGACTCGTCGCTCTAAGCTGGGATGTGGTTTGATTTCTGGCTCAAGATCAAGAACTTCTGGTGAAGCTTTACACATCTTTGCGGACTGCAGGGGCGGGGGGGGCGGGGGTAGGCTCCCTAAACCCTATAAACCCTAAACCTAGGGTTTCGTTTTTGAAGGGAGCCGGGGTCCGGACGTGATGTAGCCGACGAGAGCTCCACCTGGAGCTCCGACCCTCCCAGGTTCCCTTTAGGCCTCCCTTTTGGGTTCCTTGTAGGATTCCTTGTAGCCTACTATGAGAGCCTAGTGCGATTCTAACCCCGGGCTCTGCTCCACAGCGCCGGAGGTTGCTGACATCATAAGCTCAGGTCTTAAGCAAAAAGGTAAAGGCTGCATCACGTTTAAACAGTGGCTTCTAATGCTATTTTGGACAGTGCTCTTATGATTCTGACTACTGCTGTGAGGAAGGTGGTATCAGCATCGCTGCGCTTCCTTCAACGGTATTTTGGGTGTTTGATAAGCAGCATTACTATTTCCGATGACGGTCCTTTGCTAGTATTAGAATGGCTGTTCTGTTCGCATGATTACAGTCTGCTGAATATCAGTACTACACCTTCCCAAACATACAGACACAACAACGCATGCTGCAACACCTCGCTAGTCAGGCATGCTAGCTTGTTACTAAACCCTAAATCCTAAACCCTAAACCCTAAGCAAGCATGTATGCTGTTTGATAGTCTTGCCATCTCTTGCTCATGCCCTCCCACTTCATAGTATTCCATGTTGCAAAGCCGCAATCGTAGGACATAACATAGTTACATGACCTACATATGGTTAACAATGGGTGTAGCATATTACCAATTGTGGTGCTGTGCGGTGCTTCAGCACGGAGCCTCACTTGTGAGAATTCAGTCCGCTTCACGGTGCATCCAGGGCATTCTGTTTCAGGTCCCTTTGGATTTTCACTAGGGATTTGGGAGTTCTAGAGTTGACCGAATCCCGATACCACGATGCTAGAACGAAGGATTGGGATGCTTTGAAAGCTCCCATCTCTTCAGACCTGTTAGGTCCAAAAGCATAAACCCACACTCCTCTACCCTCAGGGTTTCGGGATACTGTACTAGCCAGAATAAACAGGATAGACTTTTGGGGTACAGTGTCATATAGCTGTATGAAGGAACCCTAAGTAGGGTATTGCGAAAAACGAATCAGCCAGGTATTTCCGAAGAGCTGAGTCCTGGCCTACCGGCAGTACCCAGTTGTTGGGAAAACAGATCCACAGGATCATCTGGAGGATGCCTAAGAAGAAGCCTCGGCATGCAAAGTGCAGGATCTCGAGTTTACGGGGCTTAAAGCTTAGTTCATGTTCTGGGTTTGAATTTCTTGGGTTGGAGGTTCTGGGTGATTGAGGACTCTACGCAGTTTACGGCCACCGACTTAACACTTCATGTTCAACATCAACCTAACAACTCGTTTGCCTCTGACAACTGCCAACAACAGTATCATGTAACACAACGTTGTATCATCTTCTTATATCAATATACCAGTCTTCTATATTACATGATGTGTTTATAAAGCATAATATAGCCTGATAGATGGTATGAATGATGACGCACGGAGAACCTGAAACCTACGACAACCTCCCAATGGCCATCGCAGCTGCCTACGAAGCAGGGCGAGGCGAACCCTTGACAGTTCATGCTGCAACGCGGAAATAGGAACCTGCTCTCGTCTTGCCTAGCGAGATACGTTCGTGTGAGGCATTCACCTCCAGAAAACCTTCAGCACACATTGACAGAGGACATGGTGCGAGAGATTGTTACTATCGCATTTGACCATAGCAGTTAATTATAGCGAAGCATCATGACATCAACAAGAGGTCAGGCAAGTGAATCCACACATAGATGGAGGAATCCAATAGCGTACATCTACATTATACTATACGTTACCTTAGTGTTTGTCGTCGTCTTCGTCCTTGTCGTCATTTCCACTCCTCATTCACTAGCTGGCACGACGACCCCAGGTGCGATGAGGGCGAGAAAGCAGGTACGCTTAAACAGGCTCCCCAGGAGGTCTTCGCTGACCGCCGCTCCCCGGGGGCCCCTCCACGAACCTTTAGCTCAGTATCAAGGTCTACACACACACACACACAC